CGCCCCCGGGTGCCCCAAAGCCAGCCGCTGCTGCAACTGACCAGCAGCTGACTACAGTAAGCCCGAGGCAGAGTTGCTCTGCCCTGGGGCTTCCTGGAATCAGCCGCTGATCAGTTTCAGCAGCAGCTGACTTGGGGATGCCTGAGGTTCTTAAGTTGAATCTGTATATAAGTCAGAACTGGCATCCAGATTCAGCCGCTGTTGAAACTGGACGCCAGTTCCGACTTACATAGAGATTCAACTTAAGAACAAACCTACAGTCCCTATCTTGTACGTAACCCAGGGACTGCCTGTAACGTCAGTGCAGACGTACCCCTACAGGGCTTTCTTATATGTTGATGAATAAATCAGAAAACTCAGAAAACATTTTCAAACTGGTCCAAAGGAGAAAAAAGACAAATGGAAATGGCTTTTATGGTTTAATAGGATCTGTCGGTTTGTAACCCTTGCATACAGTTTTTGAACACTTAAAACTTGTTATATCCTGTTCCCATCAGAATCAATGACAAAGGGCTCAAAAAGTTCAGTGATTTGCAATCAAGTCCAAAGTCTCTAATGTTAACTTGTTCCTCAAGTTGTGACAGGAATTGAAAACCGTGTAATTAAATATTGTCATAGATGTATTTTTCAGAGGCCCACCCGAGGTGCCAAATCTACACTGCTGAAACAATTACAGCAAAGTGCTCCTCTCAGATCTCCATGGTTAATCTTGACCCTGATATTATGCTTTTCCTGCAAGCATGGATTATATGGAGAGAGAGATCACTAGAGCTGAGATTCATCATGAAACTGTGAAAGGAGAATTTCCCCCTTCAAATATTTGATCAAAATACTTGTCTGTAGAAATTACAGCCTCTTACATTATATTCAGGTATATGATTGGATGTTTATGATACATGATGATGATACCTTCAGCATTGAAAGATTAATTGAATTTAAGAAAAAACCCAAATTTTTTGAAGTATGCTGCTAGCCATTTGCAAAGAATGCAACACGATTCCATGAAGACTGAAAATTGAAGGGCTAAAACACCTCCAGTCTCAGATGCAATTACAGTCTGCTGCCTGAAAACAAAGAGCAAAACAGCTCTAAGAACACTAAAGGAGGCCTTTTAGCTGACATGAGACACTGCTCTCTCTACAGAACTCATTACTTTAGTTTCCAGGTTTATGATTCAGTGTTGCTAACTGAAGGACAATTCTAAATGATACACTTACCGAAAATGTTGCACCAGTTGCTTGCTGCTCTTTCTTAAAGTTGCAGCAGTGAGCAGGTTCCGCAAATTAAAGAGCATTTTCTTTTAGAATGAAAGTTGACTTAGTCCTGGGAGCAAAGTCAACTAACCTGAAATTACAGGAAGCAGAAAATGCCTTATGTTTCAGGGAGAGAACAAAGGTAGTATCATGATGAGGCAACCTTATCTTGCATTTTCCTAGTTGTGAAATTTCAGCCAGCTCAGAGCTGACGTTGAATCCCCCCCAACTCAAATTCTACAGACAGACATTTCTCACAAGGTCAGTTGCACAGCTCATTGTGCATTTGTTTCAGGCAGCATCACATTATAGTGTATCAATGTAATTACTTAACAAGGCCATCCTGTTAGTATTTGTACATAAGAGTAGTACAGAGGATAAAACTAAGAAGAATGAAAAATAGCTAAATTTATTTTGAAATGTTCTAAAATTGTTTGCCTTTCAGGGTAAACTTTCAGATTATGCCATGGTACTCTACATGCAAGATTGTCAATGAGGCTAAATAGTTTAATCATTTTGTTTACCTCTGGAAGTTTACACCTTCATCTTAAGCTGTTTGAAATACTTGGTTAGGGTGATCTTATTTTGCAAAGGGTAAACAGGACACTAGCCCATCCCATGCACAGGGTGAGTCCAACCCACTAACCTGAGCCCTACCCACTGTCCCTGCTCCTCCACCCAGAAGGCTGGGGCATGGTCACTTCTCACTAAAGCCTAGCCTGCATCCTATCTGAGTCCTGCCTCCTCCCTGCATGGGGCTAGCATTTTTTTCAAAAAAACTTCACCTGCGTCTAGACTGCAGCCGCGTTCTTTCGAAATTAAATTGAAAGAACGCGGCTTTTCTTTTGACGGCGGTAAACCTAATTTCACGATGAAGAACGCCTTTTTTCGAAAGTGCTCTTTCGAAAAAAGGCGTTCTTGAATGCAAACAGGGGTTTTTCGAAAGAGAGCATCCAGACTGCTTTTTCGAAAGTTCCGCTTGCAGTCTAGACGCTCTTTTTCGAAAGAGGCTTTTTTGAAAGTATCTTTCGAAAAAGCCTCTTTCGAAAGAAGCTTGCAGTCTAGACATAGCCTCAATGCTAACTGTTCTTCTGCTTAGGCAGGCTGGACAACTGCTCCCTCGAGGGCATTGCTAGTATTATCTCATGCCTCAACAAAAAGAGTTGCAATTGTCCTACTTTTCAGCCTGCTTGCCCAGAAAACAAGGGCTAGCCCTGAGACTGTTTTAACAAGGCTTTCTTTTATTCATTCAGCCTTTGAACCAAATTATTTTATCTTAATGTTATAAATGTCCTTCCTTTCATAAATTGTAGTTGGCACCTGGCTCTTTACTTTGCTAAATAAGTCACATTGAAAAATAATTTGTGTTAATTTATTTGCTTAGTTGAACCTTTGATTGCTTTTTCTCATTTCACCAATGCAACCCATATCTTCTTTTTAATCAAGAAATTCCCCATCCTAAAAATATTCAAAATGTTATGAGATGCTGGATGTTTCATTAGATGAGAAAATCAAGTGTCTTTTGAGGATATTAATACTGTTCCTTCTAAAAAGAAGCGGAGAGAGAGAGAGAGAGAGAGATAGAGAGAGAGAGAGTACTATTTTCCTTATTCTAATAATTCTATTTCAGGGATTTGGAGGAAGACTTTTTCTTTGATTCTGTACCATAGCAGTCATGGAACAGTTCTGTAATAACTTATAAATACTGCATGTTGGCCTGGCTATTGAAATATTTATTTATATGAATAGATTGGTTCAGTTTATTGTGCGCTGTATGGAAAAACAAGCAGAAAGGAAAAAAGAATGATTCATGATAAGCCACCCCTCAGCAAACATTTGAAAAGTAAAAGGCAATTCCTGGTTTCTTAGCTTTAAAGACTTTAGCTCTCCCCAGCCAACCTGGAAAAGTATGTTTGTTCTGAAGGACCAAAGTCCAGGAATTCAGAAGAAAAAAAGAACTCTGGCATTGTACAAAGGATCTCTCTCTCTCAAGAGGGAAGGAGTTGTTCAGGGGACCAAAGTAGGGTGCAGGCACCTACAAGGTTCCCTGCAGAAGTTACGATTTTCTAGGTTACCATCCTGGCTAGCAGGGATTTAGGTAAAGACAAACCTTATTTTTCACTATTTGATCTGAGGAAGTGGGTCTGGCCCACGAAAGCTCATCATCTAATAAACCATCTTGTTAGTCTTTAAAGTGCTACATAGTCCTGTATTTTGTTTCAGCTACACCAGACTAACACGGCTACATTTCTATCCTTGTTTTTCAACTGTGCTTGCTCAGGTGGCAAACCCCACTGGATTTGTTTAGCACAGAGCAGAGGCTAAGAGTGGGAGAATGATAGAATCCCATCTGGGAAAGGTAAAAGGCATAAGAAGAAGAGTATGTAGAGACCAAGGAGGGGAAAGAGGTGCTCCTCGCACTGCAAATGACAACATCCACAACTTCAGGAAGCAGATATCTAGATTTAGCAGAGACAATTCTCCCCTCACAGCTTTGACTTCAGTGATGTTACTCTTTATTTACGCTGGTGTTAGAGGCAGAGAATCAGGTCAAGTGATTCCAGAAGATGACTGTGATAGATTTCTGAAATGCAATATTTTATTATCCACAGATTACACTACCCTCTTTGCAGTCACGTTACTCAAAATGTCTTCTACAAAGACATGGCTACATTATATCTCTGGTTCTGGGAATGTTCTATTATTTATATATTCTGGACTCAAATCCACAAATGTTATTTAGACATAGACTGAATTCTGGTTATTTTAGTCCTTCATTATGCTCTAGACTACTCTGTTGTGCTCTAATGGGGCAGAGTAGTCCCAAAGTTCTGGAGGATTGCTCCTAACAGCAGAATTCTTAGGTATCTCAGAATCATCACAGAAGCTTCTATGCCATGCCATTTCTAGCCACCAATTCAGGGAGTGCAGCTGGGGGAATAGAGGCCTGGCCAGGACATCGGGAGTGGCAAACTTTACAGCAGTTCTGAGATGGATCCAATTTATATTGAGGTCTACACTGGTGGTCTGATGACCCCAGAATTAGATGTGAACCCAGAGGATTACTATCCCCCCTCTGCTTGGCACTGCTGGGTGCTGTTTAGCAGCAGCTTAAGATCTGGTCTTATGTGCCAGAAACACTACAGCTAAGGAAACATTTTAGTATACAGACTTGGAGGCTGAGACTTGTCAAGAGAAGTAACATTGACTAATACAATGATAACTTAATTAGACATAGAGTGACATGCAGAAGGTTGGCATCAATAGAGAATGTCTCTTCTTTAAGCTGGAGTTATATGTAAAAGTAGCTCAGCTGCTGTCAAAAGTCATGGAGCATGGAAAAGTGCAAGATAGTCTCACCGACTGCTCCTCCTTCTCCTCACTTGTTGACTTCTTGGTATAAGTAATCTTGTTACAAGAAAACTGCTAATTCTACAGCAGCAGTCATTTCATGTCCTGGGGAAGTTGATGGCTAAAGAATGTGAGCATGGCTGTGACAGTGTTCGGAGAAACTTTGGATACACATGAAGATGGGGCTATTTAATTGAAACCAAAAGTGGGAGAGAGTATTTGTTAAAATACAAGCATGAAAAAATGGTCATAGCCCATTCCACTATAAGTAGTCTCTGTAGTACCTTTTCTGCATACCTGTCAGTTTGTTTCCATTCAGCTTTTAGTGTTGCTGAGATTGAAAATTGACATCTCAAAAGTTGGAAAATTACACCTTTCTCACTTAATGTACAAGCTTAATATTTGAGAATAACAAGAATATAAGGCTTCAGATTAGCAATCTGACTAGTTTGGAAACACGTTATATAAAATACGAGCTCAGAACCAATAGGCAAAACTAAAATGCATGCTTAGTTTAGTGTTAGTAAATGGAGACATGCTTGGTTAGTGTTAGTAAATGGTGTTGAACTAGCAATTTATTATGATTTGATAATACTTTTCTCTCATTTTTCACAAGGATGGAAAAACTGTCAAGGGTGCAAAGCAGTGGAGAATTATGCCTACTTGTTCCAAACTAAGCACTTGGCCCTGCAAACACTTGTATGTGCATGAGTACCTATTGACTTCAAAGAGATTACTTGCATGCTTAAAGAAGTTAAGCACATGTGTAACTTTGAAAAACTGCATTTATGGTTGTGAAAAATACTTATGAAAACCACAACCATTGAAATCTGAAAAAATTGTGAAATGCCAACAGAGGAGACGGGGAGGGAAGCATCCCTTAAATGTGACTAAAGCCTGTCCTTATTTATGTCTGAGCAAAACCTTCACATTTGTGAAATTTCAAATACAGAAATTTTCTGACAAAGAAGATTAAATGAAGATCAAATGATTTTACAAAACTGTGCAATTGTACATATGTGAAAACTGCTAAATTGCAAATGTCTTTCAAAAAGCAACTTATGACAGCCCATACATTTTGCACTTACTTTTTTTGAAAGATTGTGAAAAACTGTTGGCTATTTTCACCCAGGCTTCCCAGCTTCAAACTCTAAACTGTTCCTCCAGTATCAGGCCTTGGTGAATTGGGCCAAGTCTTGCAAGGCTGGCAACTGTATCCTGTCTTTTTTTTCAGGAAGCCCTCTTAATGGTTTTTATAAAATGAAAGCTGGTAAATGTCATTAGTCCATATGGTTATAGAGAAATGATGCAATGATGTCTGCGTACACCTCCAGAAATATTCAGACACTAGCTATGAGAGTTATAAATGGCCCCATTAATCTAAATGTAGTATCAACTCAGATGCTCAAGCTTGAAGATGTAAATGTCAACAGGCTTAACTCTTCCAGTGCTGTCAAAGCATATAAGAAAGGAGAGGAAGGATCATATTATAAATCTACTATCCCTTAGTTTGATGCCACAAATGGTAGGTAGGATTGCCAGGTGTCCAGTTTTGAACCAGACCGTCCAGTATTTGAGCTTTCTGTTGGGGAAACAGATTGAGAAAATATAAATGTCCGGTATTTTCTAAATAAGATGTAATATAGATTGTGATGTAATGTCAAGTGTGTCCAGTATTTTTGTTGAAACCGTCTGGCAACCCTAATGGTAGGTGTATGAAAGAATAACATAGCTCTTTTACCCCAGTCTAACCAGATGTGAAAAAAGCCATATGGAAAGGATAAAATCAAGGAGTGCATCCCGTTATTGGGACAATCTCTTAGGATATGTTTACACAGCAAAGAAAAATCCAAGGCTAGTCTGTGCCTGCCAACTTGGGCTCAGGCTGCAGGGCTGTTTCATTGCTGTGTAGACTTCTGGGCTCTGGGTGGAGCCTAGGTCTGCATCCTGCTTGTCTTTATCCCCACCGCTTTTATCCTCTTTTCCTTTCATTCTCCAGCACGTCTCCTTTTCCTCTCTCACCTCTTCCCCTTCATCTCTCTCTTTACCCCCTTTCTCTTTTTAAGGTTTATATCTTCTGTAGACATTAGGGGTGTGTTTAGACTACAGAAAAAACTTCCCCTGCATCTAGACTGCTGCCGCGTTCTTTCAGAAGTAAATCAACAGAACGCAGCAGTTTTTTCGACCGCGGAAAACCTCATTTTGCGAGGAATAATGCCTTTTTTCGAAAGTGCTCTTTTGAAAAAAGGTGCTATGTAATGCAAACTGTGCTTTTTCGAAAAAGAGCATCCAAAAGTGGCTTGCTTTTTTCAAAGTACTGGTTGTAGTATAGACACTCTTTTTTGAAAGAGGCTTTTTCGAAAGTATCGTTTGAAAAAGCCTCTTTCGAAAGAGGCTTGCAGTCTAGACATAGCCTTGGACTCTGTGGGAAGGAAAAATCCCAAAACTCAACCCTAGCCTGGAGATCTAAACAGCAGTGAAATAGCCTGAGTCCTGTGAGTCTGAGTTGGCTGACGTCATGGCCAGCCACATTTATTTATTTATTGCTGTGCAGACAATATTCTTTAGTTCTGTCTTCTCTGCACAGCTAATATGGGTGATTGGTACTTGGCTGGCTCAAATGTTTTGGATCCCTATAAGAACTATGTGGGGTGTTGCTTTTTTTTTTTTTTTGCTTTTCACGTGTGTGCGGCCCCGACTGATTTTTTTGTGGGTCCGCGGTTCCACCCCCAAAAGAAAGTTTCCCCACCCTTGGTTTAGATACTCATCTTGTTCTCATTAAAGTCAATGGTAAAAGTCCCAATGACTTCAATGGGAACTGTGTTGGTCTCTTAATCAGTGCGCTAGGTTACGGGCGTCACAGCAATTCACTTTGGCTGCACAGTATGTAATGCATTTTCTTTAACTTTCAAACAGGTTGAATGTAATTTTTACAAAATTTGATGAGGTCCAAAAATCTGGAAACATGATCCAGGGAGCAGGTGGTAAGTAGAATACTGTTATTGTCTCAGTTTTTTGTGAACTATCAGCGTTGTGGAAATTCATAAAATAAGTTGTGTACTCGTTCCAAAACATTCTATTTTTTTCTGTACTTCTGGGAAGGGTGACGGTTAGTTCACATGCCTCGTTGTGTGATGGAGTGGGGTAAAACACTAGGCTGTATGTGCGTTTCTTTAGAATGGAGGGGAATCTGAAGTTTCTTCACCATAAAGGATGCTTTTTGTTCTTCTGAAGAACATAATTGAGAACTAGTGTTTTTGTCTAGATCTAGATGTGGGAAGGAAGAATTAACGCCTTTATCAACTATTGCAGTGTTCACCAATTGACTATATATTTACTTCAATCCATTGAATGACCAGGACAACGAATTGGACTGAATTCACTCCTAATCTAACTTCATTGATGTCAGTGAAGTTAGACAAAAGATGAATGTGGCTCATTATGTCTTAATGAGAGCTGCTATAATGGACTCGGATGTATCTAACATAGGTTCTCCTTAAAAGGCATTCAACTAGTTACGTCGTAGTACTGCTGTTGCTTATTGGAATTTCATGGGACATACTTGTGCATGATGGTGTTGTGATATCTTATTACCACACTGTGCCTAGATAGGCCCACTGCACTGAAATGGTGTGAAATAGTGGTAGTTCATTTTCATTGGAAGTTTGCTTAGTAACTTATTAACAGGCCACAAATTAAATTTGCAAGTGGATTATCTGAACAATCTGAGGGCAGTCCTGGAGGAAAGTCAAATAGTCATTGCTAGGACACTCGTTTGTATCCAAGGAATGAATCACCATTAAGAATGTTTTGTTGGACAGTAGAAAAATTGAGTAGTTTCAGATTTCAAACATAAGATTTTAGGTGTATAATTATTTTACCTTGGATATAACTCAGAAGGGTATCTGCTCCTTAACCTGCTCAACCCCAGGACAGTCTTTGCCATCTCAGCACTTTCTGTGGTCTCAGAGGTGTCTCAGGAGCTGTTGCTACAGGCCCTAGAACTGTGAAAATATCCTGAAGTAGATAAATGGAAGAAGAGTGATGGGCCTTTTCTAAACAGGCGTTCTTGGCTTATTGAACTTCAGCTTGTCCTGATTCACGGAACATAGACAGCATATTGTTGTCTTGATTATTTTTTCAAAATCACTTTAAATATGTTTGCTGTTCTTAAATGGAAGTGTAATTACTCATAGGTATAAGCTAAATGCCTGTGAGTGTGCGTGAGCATGTGGTGAGTGGACTGACAAGAAAGTTCTCAGGTGTTTCAATTTCCCTTGGTGATGTAGGCAGATTCATGCCCCCCTTCCTAACTACTGCTCCCCCCAGTCATTCCCAGCCCTTTCTCTAGCCAATGTATGAGGAAACTTTGTGCAGGGAACCTTTACGTTCAGGGGATGCCCTTCAGTGCTGGTGTTTAGAAAGTAAATGTGACTTGTCACCAAGGTGGATGACACGTGTTTCATCGTGGCCTAAAGACAAACTTGCTGTCTACTGAGATTATGCTTTTTTCCCCTGCTTTGAAAACAAAGAAGATCCAGTCCAACGTCTGTCGTAGTTTACAGGAAAGGCCATAAATAACGTACACCTCAAAGCTTAGCTTTTCACAGGAGCCCACCTCCTAAATCCGGTAATTACTTTCGGAGTTTGACACAGGGCACTGCCTGTTGCCAGGGTCTCTCCCTTGTTATCAGAAGCACTGCTCCTTTGAGGTCATGCCTGCACTGTGCTTTTCCTGTTGCAGTAGCGGGAAAGTGGGAGAGTGGGGCAGATGCCATCAGCTGGAATGTGGTATTATCTGAGCAGGATAGGTAACATGGTGGAGTTGGTGCAGATCCATCAATACTAGAGTTAGCCCAGACCCATGCTCATCTGCACTGCCTGGAGATCTAAACAGCAGTGAAATAGCCTGAGTCCTGTGAGTCTGAGTTGGCTGACGTCATGGCCAGCCACATTTATTTATTTATTGCTGTGCAGACAATATTCTTTAGTTCTGTCTTCTCTGCACAGCTAATATGGGTGATTGGTACTTGGCTGGCTCAAATGTTTTGGATCCCTATAAGAACTATGCGGGGTGTTGCTTTTTTTTTTGCTTTTCACGTGTGTGCGGCCCCGACTGATTTTTTTGTGGGTCCGCGGTTCCACCCCCAAAAAGGTTCCTCCCTCCTGCATTCCAGCCAAGTAGGGTAGAAAACCCTGCAAGCCGCCCGGCGGGGCCGCGGCCCCCCCCCGCCCCTGGCCCCGGGGGGGGGGGGGGCTGTTACATTCCTCGGCCCGGCCCCGCCGAGAGCTTCGTTCGGGCGCCTGGGGAGCTCAGCGTGGCCCGGGAATTGTCCTCCTGAGAGCTGGCGGCTCTGCTCTCCCCCCAGCCAGGGCTCCGCGCCGCAGTGCTCGGGCTACAGATCACGGGAGCTCTGCTGGCCGAAGTTACATGCAGTTGCCCCCGCCTGTATCGTAGTAGCTCTCACTAATACAACTTCAGCTTCTAATTAGGGATGTAATAGTGCAGTAGCCGATTAACTGATTAGCCATAAGCAAAAGCTTATAGGTTAGTGCAGTAGTTAGTAGTACTGGGTACACGATTACCAAAAGTACCCTATCCTAGGAGGTGGGTCTGGCCCACGAAAGCTCATCATCTAATAAACCATCTTGTTAGTCTTTAAAGTGCTACATAGTCCTGCATTTTGCTTCAGCTACCCCAGACTAACGCGGCTACATTTCTATCCCTATCCTAGGAGACTGTCTTGCTTATGACAATCTTGCAGCCCACTAACATGAAGGAGGACCACTCATGCATCCCGCTCACTAGCCTAGATCAGTGGTCCCCAACACGTGCCCGCGGGTGCGCGGCGCTTGGGGGGAGGTGCCGGCCCCAGGTGCGCGGCGCTTGGAGGGGCACACGGTGCTTGGGGGGGGCGCCCTCTGGCGCCCAGTGGGCGAACAGCCACGCCCCCTGGCGCCCAGCAACCTTAAATGCTTGGGGACCACTGGCCTAGAAAGTCTATCTCTGTTTCAGTGCCATTCCTGCCCAACCTGGCTAATAGCTATAGATGGACCTATTCTCTGTGAACTTACCTAGGTTTTTTTTTTTAACTGATAACCTGGGTTTATCAGTTAATCCAGTTGACTACATGCATGTTAGTGTATGTATTGCCAGGAGGGGGGAAATATGTGTTTGTTTTCATATATATAGGACTTTTACTTTTCTCAACCTTTTTTTTTTTTTTTTTTGGTCTGAAGAATGGTGTAATGGTTAAAGCACAGGACTCAGACTTAGGTGGTCTTAAATTTTGGTCCTGGTTCTGGCTTTTCCTCTGTCTTTCTGCATGATGTTGGGCAAAACCATCAATTTATATGCCCATTTCCCTACCTGTACTACAAGGATGACATATTAACTTAAAATTAAAAGGTTATGGTAAGAGTTTAATTCATAAATGTTTGTGAAACATTTTGAGATACTCTAAGGCTATGTCTGCACTATAAAGGTTTTGTGCAAAAACGGCTGTTTTTGTGCAAAATCCAGCAAAGCATCCACACCTTTTGCGCAAGTAAATCAGCAGAAAAGAAGACTTTTGGCGGTACAGTTACTCCTCTCCCCACAAGGAATAACTCCTTTTTGCGCAAGAGTTCTTGAGCAAAAAGGCAAGTGTTGACGCTCCGCAGGGGTTTCTTGTGCAAGAGCCCCCTATCCGAAAAAGCACAGGTGCTCTGATTGCCATTCACAGAATGGCAATCAGAGCTTTCTTGCGCAAGAGTGTCCATGCAGTATCATCGCTCTCTTGCGCAAGAGCACATTGCTTTTGCGATGTGCTTTGAGGTCTGGATGTGCTTTTGCGCAAGAAGTTTTTGCGGAAGAACTCTTCTGCAAAAGGCTTCTTGTGCAAAAACCCTAGTAGACGAAGCCTAAAATAAGGCACTCCCAACGTGTGGTGTATTTATTTAAACAGTTTAAAATGCATGTATACTACATGATTTGAAACAATAAGTTTGAGACTCTTTTGAGTTCCAAAGTGGGAAGAACTGTGACTGTTAGAAATAGAATTCTCCAGGGTTATATCTTTTTTTAAGATCATAATTTTAAAATGGAAGTTGATTTTTGGCAACCCTTGTTTCCAAGGGCTAAGAGTCTTGCTTTTAGGGGGCAATTTTTAGATCAAACATATCTTTTCAGATGAGTGAGGAAGAGTTGTCAGATTTGGAGCCTATCAACCTTTTCAGTGTCTGTCTAATCCAATTTGGAAAACCTGTTTGAATTCAAGTGTAAACGTAAATGAGATTTTTTTTTTTGTCTCAACCTGCTTTCAGGATGAGCTTTTTGTGCTTTGCTTTTTTTGAGTCAAAATTTTCATTTTTAAGCCCATATACATGTAGCAATTTTGCTATATTTCTTAGAGGATAGTGGTAAAGGACAAAAGAGTTTGGTTATATCCTTAAAGGAAAATATATCTATAGCTATCTCTAATCTATTAGTAGCCTTGAAATATGTGACTCAGAGAAACCACTAGAAGAGCATTAAAGAAATAAGAAAAGACAGTGGAAAATAAATAGGATGCTTGGATTAGTGAGAAGTTACTTTTTTGGATAGATGAGGTATAGCTAACTTGCACTAATACTGAAATTGTCTTATTTATGTTTTAGAATCAGGTGCTGTTTTCACATTTGGAAAAAGCAAATTTGCAGAAAATATTCCTACCAAGTTCTGGTTTAAAAATGACAAGCCTTTGTATATATCATGTGGAGATGAACATACTGCTATTGTTACAGGTTGGTATTGACACAGTTTAAGGAATGTATTTTGTAATACACCGGCTTGTAACTGTATTGGTTAATTTCAAGTCTGTGGTATAGTTATAAACAAAACCCTTCCTCTGTTCTTTGAAGGAGTGCTTTCATTCCTGTTGGAGTCACTAGGAGTTAAATTCTGAGCACACTAAAAAGGAGATGTCAGGGTCCCCACGAGTGAGTCTTTATCGCAAAATGACAATATTGGATCAAAATAAGAAGTCATACTGGGTTAGACCAGTGGTCCACCTAGCCTAGTATCCTAAGCATATGCTTTCAGATAACTATTCTCAGTAGCCCCAAGATTTCTTCCATGAGCAGTATCAACTAATTTAGGTCCCCTTATTTTGTATGTTATGTATAGCTAGTATTAAGTTTTTCAATGTTCATTATTTTGCATTTATCTGCATTGAATTTAACCTGCCATTTTGTTTCTCAACCACATGTATAGTGAGATCTCTTTGTAACTCTTCACAGTCAGGTTTGGACTAGGGATGTAAGTGACTAGTTGGCCACCTGATATTCCTAGGCTTATTGGGTAGTTGAGTCACTACTTGATTAGTCGATCTCTTCCTCCTCCTCCTCCCCCCCCCGCTCGCTGCCTTGGTATTAGAGGCAGCAAAGGGGGGAAGCAGGAGCTGGTGCTGGGGGGGAGCCAGCTTAAAAGTTGGTTCCCCCAGCACTGTCTCCATGGAGAGGCAGAAGTGCCACAGGGGAAAATGATGCGAGCAGGGACTGAAGCAGTCTCTGCTCATGTGGGGTCCTGACTGCTGCGCCTCTCCCTGTACATTTCAAAGGCAGAGGTGCAGCGAGATAGTAACTGCCCCCCTTATCAACTAATCGGGTAGTCGATGGAATTTCCATCGACTACTCGATTAGCTGATTAATGAAAATTTAGCATCCCTAGTTTGGACTTAACTATCTTCAGTAATTTTGTATTGTCTCAAACTTTGCCACCTCACTGTTTACCCCCTTCTTCAGATCATTTATAAATCTGTTGAACAGTACCAGCCCCAGTATGTATCCTTGGGGGACCCTCCTATTTATCTCTCTTCACTGTGAAAATTGACCATTTATTCCTACCCTTTGTGTTCTGGCTTTTCACAAGATACTAATCCATGAAAGGACCTTCCCCTCAGGTATCAAAATGAATTTGGTCAACTTGAAAAAACACTCACACAATGAAAGTATCTAATAATCATTCTTAGAGTAGCGATGTTAAATATTGGTTAATTGAATAGTTGAGTTAACTCATGAATTATTGGTTACTCAACTATTCTGTCGTACCTGTGGGTGAGGCTGGCAGCCAGTGCACTCTGGCCCCACTTCTGAGGAGCCCCCTGACACTCTGTGCTACTGCCTCTATATCAGAAGCAGCAGCATGGAGTGCCAGGCAAGAGCTGGTCTGCAAGGGGTGCTAGTTTAAAAAACAGCTGCCTGTCGCCCCGTGCGGCTGCCTCTAATACAGAGGCAGTAGCGCAGGGTGGCAGCAGCTCCTGTCTTGGGGGGATCTGAGCTCCCAGACCCGGTACGAGTTGGAACTGAGCCAAGCTGCCTGCCTGCCTGGCTCCTAATATACTTTAAATGCAGAGCCACAGCAGGAGTAGGTCCCAGACCCATCGCAAGCCAGGACTGAGCTGGGCTTTTGGCCAGCCTGCTAAAAAAAAATGTACTGGCTGGAATGCCGGGGGGTCAGGGCATGCGTGTAGTCTATAGCATTAACCTATAAGCTTCTGCTTATCGGTTAATCAACTACACTGATACATCCCTAAAATAGAGAAAGTTTATGTAGTGGAAATCAGGACTTGAACTGAAAATGAACCTGGAAGGTTGTTTTTTGTTTTGTTTTGTTTTTTTGCTTGCTTGCTTGTTTTTGTTTGAGAAGCTACATTGAGTGTAACTGGCAAAAGTAAATAGAATCTTTGTCTGAAACTTAATATTCAAGATGGTATATGTCTAAAATTAAAGCTTTTTAGACTTATAAATTATATATGAATGGAAAATAGCACTATGGTCAATCCCAGAATATTTAAATAAATGCTGCTACTGTACAGTAAATTACAACACACAGAAAAAGTTTTGATGCAACACAGTAAACATACTTTTAATAACAATCTTATTTTTGTTTCTTTGAAATGCCAATAGCAGGAATCAACAAAGAATTAGAGTTCTGTTTGAACAAATGCAAAAGCCACTAAAATTTAGTTGGTGATCATGTCAATTAATTATTTTGACACTTCATTTCATGTAAATGCTAGCATTAAAAATTGAAAATAGAATTTTGATACAGAAAGTCCAAGCTGTATTTTCAGAATCAATTTTAGTTTTGAGGCAGCATTCTCCCTATATGCCAACCTAGAACCTTTGAAATAGGTGTTCTTCCTGGTTACTTCTGTGTTCCTTAAATGTTTGCCCATTATATAGGTGTTTTTAGGATCTCATGTGGGTCCCCATGCTAACCTGATTATAACTGCATTTGGGGAAAAGTGGGATTTGTGAAAAACAAGTGTTTTAACAATGAATCATAGGACTGCAAGGGATCTCAAGAAATCTTCTAGCCCAGTCTTGTGAAAATGCTTTTATGCCTTTGTAACATACTGCAAAACATGTAGTGAAAAACAAAAGTCCTTTCTGCACTGCAGTGTTTTTCCAGTCCAACACCAGTGAAAATGATACTAGGATTTGATTATACTTGAACACAACTTCGAAGTATTTTTTCAGGTTGTGGAAGTTTTATTAAATAGTTTCTGTTTACTACTTATGATTTCTGGTAAGCTAATCCTTTATTTCTATTCCTCTCCAACTTTATTGGCAAGACACTACATTGGGAAAGGATGGTCATTACCATCCCTCCTCCCTCCAACAGTTGTTTTTGAGCTTTGTGTTAAGCATTATGGAAGTTTTAAAACTGTACAATGATGTTAAAAATCTTTTAAAATGAAAATGTTTGTAGTGTAGAATTGCTTTTTCTGTGGCATTTAAAAATGAAAACTGACTAACTTTTACATTTTGAAAGTTTCTGTAACCCAAATTCAAAACCTTAACTGGGGAACCAAATTCTGCTCCTCTTATTGGGAAGCTCTGCAAATGAGTTGTGGAAACACTGCCTTTTTCCTCATAGGAGTGAACTTCTGGGAGAATGTCTACGCAACACTTAGGAGACAGACATACATTCACCAACTCTGCTTGAGGCAGCATGGCTGTAGTGGCAAGGGTGGCAGCTTGGTCTAGCCACCCAATTATAATCCTATCTGACCCCTGGACATATGCCTATGCAGCTAGCAGGAGTCACTATCAGTGCCTTCAAAGCCATGCTGCTATTCCTAGCATGCTAGTGCCAGCAACCAGATTTTAACAGGGCACTGAGATTATTGAAGAGATCAGGCCAGATTCTACATTGTAATTTTTTTGGCAGAAGAATGCATTCACAACAGCCAAATTGTCTCAACGGTCCACACATCCTAAAATGTGTCTCACTGTTTTGTAAACCATAACAAAACTAAACTGTTCTGTTTTGGATAAGGCTGTTACAGCCATGACACAAACTATAATTTCAGGCTGTTTTTTTAAGTCATTTTCATTGCTAACCGTGGCTGACCAAGACTGTGATGTTAATTTGTAGAAAAAATTCAATTCCATGCACATGTATTGTAATTGACTATATATTTTAAATAGTCAATTAAATATTAAATAGTGTTAAACAACTTCATTGTAAAATAAAGAATATTTGATCTCTCTCATAATTTTCCTAACAAAAAGCTTTAATAATAATTATTGTGGTCCATGAATTGATGGCCATCCTTAATGATGGATGGTCTGCTGGAAGTTGTAGTATAGCCAAACACTTTTATGAGTTTTCATGGATGTCTTTATTTTGCAGGAAATGGTAAACTTTACATGTTTGGCAGCAATAACTGGGGCCAGTTAGGACTAGGAACAAAGAATACTATCAACAAGCCAACTTGTGTGAAAGGTTTGTCTTACTTTCTTCTATGACTTTTTGTTAGATGTCTTGAATGAAAAAGTGATTTACAGCAGTGTTTCTCAGCCTTTTTTTTTATAAAGTACCCCTTTTAAAATACACATACACACAGTACCTACAGTTTTCAGACACACAACATTATTTTCTACTATTGCAACACATTTGTTTAAACAAGTTAATCGTAGCCAGGAGGGCGATGACATTTTTGGGTGTAAAAAGTAGTAAAGCGCTGTGTTGACATACCCCCAAGGCTTCTCTCAAATACCCCTAAGGGTACTCATACCACTGGTTGAGAAACACTGATTTACAGTATCGATTTCCAAATTAAATACAAGTACCCTACTTGATCTTCTATCCCCTTAAAATTCTAGGTCTCATAGAGTTTGAAGACTACTCCAGATAAACAGATTCCAGTCTTTTGGATACTATTAAGAATTCACATTCAGTGTCATCTCTGTTTCTGTTTAACTTCATTCCATATGAAGGGAAGTTATTGTACTGTTGATCTCTGAAGTACTGTCTAGTGCTTAGATACCAAGAGAGAGTATCACTGTATGTGTGCATTGTTATAGCCATGTTGGTCCCAGATTATCAGAGACACAGCCGAGTAAGGTAATATCTTATTGTGCCAACTTCTTTTGGTGAAAGAGACAAGCTTTTGACCTTTCACAAAGCTCTTTGTCAGTCTGAAATCACTTCACCCACCTTGGCTATGTCTACGCTACAGGCTTCTTGCGCAAAAAGCTTTTTGCGGAAGAGATCTTCTGCAAAAACTTCTTGCACAAGAAAGAGTCCACACTGCAAAAGCACATTGAAAAAGCAATGTGCTTTTGCGCAAGAGAGCATCCAGACTTCATGGATGCTCTCTTGAAAGAAAGTGCTGATAGCTGTTCACAGAATGGCCACCAGAGCACTTGTGCTTTTTTCTATAGGATTTTTTTGTACAAAAAGAGGCAGTTCCCTATCCCCACACACCTTTTTGTGCAAGAGCTCTTGCGCAAAAAGGAGTTATTCCTTGATCAGGAGTAAGAAGAGCAATTGGGGTAATTTCTATCAGTAATGCCCAAACTGTCAGGCATGCTACATGAACTGTATAGCAGGACTGGTATACTCTGAAGTCTTGTACATCTGGCTACCATGGGAGCACTCCTCGCCTTTCAGGCTATAGATGACAGGAAACAGGAGGAGGTGGTACATAGGGGAGAATGCAGGCTTCTGAGGAGCTAATTCAGATAATCTTCATACCCACAAGAGGCAGAATAAAGAGTTCTCTGCACATGCTTCTTGATTCCACAGTACTTCCATGTTCTTCCGGGTCCAGCTCTTTGAACTGAGAAGAGCATTATGATTTCTGAGTGTGGTGTTGGTGTGTGTAGCATAGGATGGAAAAGGGTCCAGACGATGGAGGATTTGTGTTTGAGTGGAAAAGTTCTAAGCCTTTGAGTCTGGCAGGAGAGGGGATTTGGAGTTGAGGGAATAAGTCTGAGCTGTGTAGTGAGTGAGTAGAAAATGAAGGAGTCAAGAAGGATGGGGGTGTCTTGGAGCTGGTGGAAGTTGTTTTGTGGGAATATAGGAGTATAAGAATGGCCATACTGGATCAGACCAAAGGTCCATCTATCCCAATATTCTATCTTTTGACAGTGGCCAATGACAGGTGCCCCACAGAAAATGAACAGATCAGGTAATCACCAGGGCTACGTCTAGACTGGCATGATTTTCTGCAAATGCTTTTAACGGAAAAGTTTTCCATTCAAAGCATTTGCAGAAAAGAGTGTCTAGATTGGCACTGACGCTTTTGCGCAAAAGCACTTTTTGCGCAAAAGCGTCCGTGCCAATCTAGATGCGCTTTTGCGCAAAAAAGCCCCAATCGCCATTTTCGCGATCAGGGCTTTTTTGCGCAAAACAAATCTGAGCTGTCCTCACTGGCCCTTTTGCGCAAAAGCTTTGCGCAAAAGGACTTCTGCCTGAACGGGAGCAGCATAGTATTTCCGCAAAAAGCACTGATTTCAGACAGTAGGAAGTCAGTGTTCTTGCGGAAATTCAAGCGGCCAGTGTAGACAGCTGGCAAGTTTTTCCACAAAAGCAGCTGCTTTTTCGGAAAAACTTGTCAGTCTAGACCAGTGTTTCTCAAATGGTGCTCTGCGGAACCCTGGGGTTCCGCGAACGTAAGGGTTCCGCGAGAACCCGAACGCTCCCCTCCCCCCGCCCATAAAGAGACAGAGGAGCCCGGCGTGCAAAGACGCTGGCTCCTTCCCCGCTCCCTTTTCAGACATCTTCCGCGTCCCCCGCTGCCGCTCTGCTTTTACCACCGGAAAAGTTGGTCACTCTAGCTTCTCTGCCCCAGGTGTCTCCGATTCAGCCGCTGCTGGTCAGTTTCAACATTGATATTGATAAAAATATGAAAAGAGTAGCTGACTATCTGGAATGTGCAACGTTTTATTAAAAATGTAACTATCAACCTGTTTGTAAACTTATTCTCTGACCTTAATTCACAGCTTTAAAACCAGAAAAAGTTAAACTTGCTGCTTGTGGGAGAAACCACACTTTAGTTTACACAGGTATGTAATCTGCATTATTTATATATTAGGGAAATATTTTAGGCAAAATTCTGCCCTTGATTCTAATTCTATAATGGGAGAATCCTATGTGCATCTAGGGTAAAAACTTGGCAGTGAAAATTCAACCACTTATCATGCATTCTGTGCTCTGAGTTCTTTAAATAGCTTTTCCATGCCATGGTATTTATAAATGAATTGTATATAGGAATTGGCAAACACTATCCAGCTTGAAGAATTTCCTCTTGCCTGATTTTAATGTGATGGTAACAGTTTTGTATAATTTCAGTAAAGGTCTGGACGTACAGAACATAACCTTTTGAATCAATGCTCTCCTAGTCTTCTTAAAATGCAGTATACTTTGTCTCTCACTGTTGGGTTTAAGAAATTAGTTTGCTAAGCTTTAGAAATTGGCACTTTCACTTTACAGAATCAATATACAATAAATTGATCCAAATTCTTGACATGTTTTTAAATTTGTAGAAAGCAACTACCTTCCTTATGGCACCAATATTTGGAGCTTGCAGTGATATGAAGAGAGTGGCTGATTTCTAAGGGTTTTAATATATGTGTGATCTCAGGCTATAGTAAACTATTGTTACAATATAATGGAACACTTTAATAAGGATTGACTATAACTGAACAAGGTATAGGTTTACAACCTGAAACAGTTATTGTGGTAGGATAATTTTTGTGACTACCGTTAACATTTGTAGTTATGCACATTAAAATAACATTAAAGATAATTAAAACTCATGCTTCAGTGCACAAGTTAATTAAATCTGTGGCTCAGAAGGAAATTCTTTCTCCTGCCCTTTTTGTGGTGGTGTACACCTAGAAGGATCTATTTATCTATCTATCTTAGGTGCCTATATCGCCCTCCCCCAATCTCTATAGTATCTGAGTATCTCACAAAGTTTAATGTATTTATCCATCACAATGCTCCTGTGAGATAGGGAAGTACTGTAATCTCCGTTTGACAGGAGGGGAACAGGCAGAGAGGCTAAATGGCTTGCCCAAGGTGTCACAGGAAGTTTGTGGTAGAGCAGGAACCTCTCAAGTTCTACTCTAGTGCCCTAACCACTAGACCATTGTATCTCTTATGGAGTCTCTTTGCCTTCTCCTGTTGACTTGTAGTGGAAGGATAAGGTACTGTTGACTTGTAGTGGAAGGATACTGAACTAGATGGCCTAATTGGTTCAGACTGGTATGGCAAATCCTACATACTGTAACTGTTTTGAAGATATGTATTTTAAAGAAATGCCCATTGTAATGTAAACCTTTTTGTTACAATTGGCATTTGACAGAATGTTAGAAAAGGAACAGTAATAGCGCACATGAGATTTTACATAGTTTTTTGAAAATTTACAATACACAAAAAAATTGAAACACTAGTACAATACATTATATAGCTACAGGGGAGTATAGTAGTTGGTAACAAATGCAGTATACAAGCTAAGTATTATTAAAGCCAGAATATATAGACAGCATTTTTTCAAAGTAATGATCTAGTGAAAGATGGGACCTTTTTATCTCTCGCTTACCCCTCACCTGCTTTGAGAATCACTTCTGCTGTGATGCCTGTGAAAAATCAGCTAGATTGGCTAGCTCAGAAACAAAATCAATGGGACTTGTGCTCCTAAGACTTTTGACTGCTTCTGAAAATCCCATACGCGAATACCTAAATATGTAGAGTCATGCAAATCTGCGTGTATCTGCAACCACAGATGTTAATGTGGGTACCCAGAGCTCATTTTATGGACGTGGATACCAATTTTGTATCACCAGTACTCTGCAAATTTGTGGATATCCACTTTAAATCCATGTTTATCCGCATCCATGAATATCTGCGGATCATTTTTGCATATGCAGATGTAGATTCCAGTTTTATATCCATGCAGGACTCTATAAATAAGTGTTTACAAACTTACCAGTAGAATCCAAATTTTTAAGAATTTTGGTCTCTGAGTACCTAACAATTCATAATAACAAAAAGCCCCCCACGTCTGGTCCCCTAATACTTTTAAATTCAGATCCAGGGTAGCGTAATTTAAAATAAATGACTTTTTAAATTATTAAATTGTGTTGAATGTTTGTATAGCTAATTTGAAGAACTGTGTTACTAAATTTTACATTAACATTTATAATGTTACATAGAATATTTATAATGTTACATATGCTGTTTACATAGAATGCCACTAATTGAAAAATGAATGCTCTCATTTTTACTTTACAAAACTTCTATAGCTGCACACTAGCAATGTTAATTATTGTGTAATTGAATAGTCGAGTAACTGCATGAAATCTTAGCAGTTGCTCAACTATTCTATAGTCCCCGAAGGCAGAGCCAGCAACCAGTGCAATCCAGCCTCACTCCCGGGGAGCCCCCTACTTCCCTGCGCTACTGTCTCTGTATCAGCTCCCTGCTCAAACCAGCTGCCTGCAGCAGCACAGAGTGGCAGCAGCCCCTGTCTAAGGGGGAAAAAGTACAGAGCTAACAAGGAGTAAATACAAATGTGATTTAAATAACACTACCTGGGTCATCTAGCACGCCTCATCATATTACTTTTTAAAATTAACATATTTTTATCTACTCTGTTCAAAATCATCGTGTTATATTCAGAACTAATTTATATAATTAGGTGATTTTAATATTGTTACTCTGGCCATGCCTCCCCATTTGATTCCAGTTTCATCGCACTTGCTTATTGTGTTTTCTCTAAAAGTAGATTGTAAACTATTTGATGAGGTAAAGACTTTGTATTTCTTGGGGCCCCCCCAGACCAGGGTGATTTCATGTTAAAACACTGTAAATTAATAAGAAACCTTAATAAGAATGACTTAATTCACCAGCTTAATTTATCCTTCTCCCTCCCACCCCCAGTTACTTGTACTGGCAGTCCCCGGGTTACGTACAAGATAGGGACTGTAGGTTTGTTCTTAAGTTGAATCTGTATGTAAGTCGGAACTGGCGTCCAGATTCAGACACTGCTGAAACTGACCGCCAGTTCTGACTTACATACAGAATCAACTTAAGAACCCCAGGCGTCCCCAAGTCAGCTGCTGCTGAAACTGATCAGCAGCTGATTCCAGGAAGCCCGGGGCAGAGCAACTACAAGATAGGGACTGTAGGTTTGTTCTTAAGTTGAATCTGTATGTAAGTCGGAACTGGCGTCCAGATTCAGACACTGCTGAAACTGACCGCCAGTTCTGACTTACATACAGAATCAACTTAAGAACCCCAGGCGTCCCCAAGTCAGCTGCTGCTGAAACTGATCAGCAGCTGATTCCAGGAAGCCCGGGGCAGAGCAACTCTGCCTGGGGCTTCCTGTAGTCAGCGCTGGTCAGTTTCAGCAGAAGCTGACTTGGGGACACCTGGGGCAGAGCAGCTGGGGTGCT